AAAAAAACCACAGCCTGGCCCATTGAATTCAGCTGTGAAAGCCCAATATAGTACATGCGAGTAAGATTTTACACATTTACCTACATATGTGTCCTGCAATTTTTAACATACTAACCCCCTTGGAATTTTTAATACTTGCAACAAAAGTTATAGAAATACAASTTACAATCTTTACCATGGGTTGGTTTCTTTTTGTATAAAGAAACGTCATACAGCAACATAACACAGTAGTCTACCTGGTTAGGATGGTCTTACTAGATTATAAGTAATATATCTCCTATGATACGTTGTTTCTGGTGATTTTAATAATTTTAGTGAAACTGCTTATTTAAATCACACTTATTATCCCAAACACATRTATTAAACACGAATAAAACTGGGCATGAACAGGGTAAAGGCAAGTAATGGCACCTTGAGTATTGAGGCAGTAGGCACTAAGCATGAATCTGCATTTACCATGCTTTCACTGACAACACTTTTCTGTATGGCACTGTTTACCCATATTTAAATTGTTTTTCTCCTGTAAGAATTTTGTCATAGCCTTGAAGTCACTAGCAGACAACAGGTAGTCCATTGATTCCTTGGATAAAAGAATTTCGACTAGGAACATCCATAGGGTTATTCAACATGAGAAACCCCCAAGCTTTTCAGTGCCTGAGTACAAACATAAGAAAACTAAGCAATGCCACCATGCATACACACACAAACAAGAAACAGGTAGTGGCTGAAAGGACTCTTAAGTTTGTGGGGTTTAAGCTATCCAGCAACCTGAAGTGGAAATACTGATGCCACCAAGCAGGTTAAACACTCCTGCTGAACATTTAGCTTATYCCCTGGTTCTTCCCCTCAGGAGAGTCCTATTTTTGAAGTCTTCCCTGTCTGCAATGCCGCAGTTCAAGTCCCTTTGAAGTTACTAAMATTCCCAATGAAATCTTTAAATTCTGGACCAAAATCTGAAGGTCAGAATGTCTGATGTATTTTATTGGGACACAAATAACACAAACACGTCGAGAATCCAACTGTTGTACTGTGCTCWGCTCTGGGGCCCCCAACACAAGGATGGTGTAGGCATGCTAGAGCTAGTCTGGAGAAGACACCTCTCCTATGCAGACAGGGTGAGAGTTTGGATTGTTCACCCTGGAGTAGAATCCAGAAACACCTCATTGCTCCTTCCAGTGCCTAAAGAGGACTTACAAGAAAGCCGGAGAGGGACTYGTAAAAAGGCAAGATGGAACAAGATGAAACAATCTTGACCTGAAAGAGGGAAAGTTTAGAGTAGGTATCAGGAAGAAATTGTTCATTGTGAGGTGGTGAGGCACTGGCACGTTGTCCAGGGAAGTTGGGGTTGCCCCATCCCAGAAAGTGTTCAAAGCCAGGTTGAATGGAGCTCTGAGCAAGCTCATCYAGTGGAAGGTGTCCCTGTCCGTAGCAGGCAGGTTGAAAGCAGATGATCTTTAAATCCCGTCCACCCCAGACCATTCTATGATTCTATGGTATTTGAACTTCAAAATAATGTCAGCACTATATTTAATTTTAATAAGTCTCTAGGAACTGTGGAGACAATGTGGTAGCCAAACATCTCTTTTTCTAGATTTTAAAATCCAGCTTTTAGAGTTCAGCTAAACTAAGGCTGTCTCTGACAGATTTTGGCTCAACAATCCTGCCCTCTCCCAAAGGGGCTAGATCAATGGCACCAATTTAGTTTCAACTCATTTTTTGGGGGTGTACAGAGATCTTTCAGCTATAAAAATCCACATCATATACAGGTAAAACCACTCCAGTTATGATTTTGTTTTTCAAAATTTTMATTTGTCCAAGTATCAGTTGTACATATTCCTGCTCCTGARGCCACAGCACAGGTAATACCTGCCTTGGGAACATCAGTGCCAACTATGTGGTGATCTTCAGTCTTACTCAAACACCTTCTCCTTCTTATGTATTTGATAGCAGAGTATTTGCCCTTCCAGTAGACAATTTTTGTGTTACTCAGAGCCAAAAAAAATGCTTAGCAGGGTCTTCTTTTKGGGCAGTTATAATGAAAACAAGGTAAAATCAGTCCAGGAAGGAAATAAGCTGCACAGCAAGATAAAGGCAAAGGCTGCTGTGACTTACTCAGTTTTTGTAAACTTAAGCTTCCTAACATCCCCGTGGAAAAAGAAAAAACCCCAAGCAAATCAGTAATAATTAGAAAACTTTTTCTTTCCCATTTTGCCTTTGCACTTCACCATCTATTCTCTATTAACTGCTCTCTTCATTTGTTTGCTCAATCTTCTCTCTTGAGCAGATAAAAGGGTTTCATTAAAGTAAAGCCTAATGCTGTAAGTGGCAGGAGAGCTGCCAACCCTGGTGGTTTTAGTAAGTCTATTAAGCTGACCTAAGCATGCTAATACTTAATAAATTCCCTCCATTCACACCAGTCCTTCACAAATATTCTTTTATCTCATATAGAAAACTAAGTTATCCAATTCAAATGAGTAATAAAAGACCAGACCCCACACTCAGCCTTATATTTMTGTATATGCACAGCTGTGTCAAAGAGGAACAGACAAACCATCATTTTCAATCTCTGCTGTAMCAGAAGTATCACTTGAGATTACAGAAAGGGACAGTAACAGCTTGACAAAAGTATTCCAATAATTAAGATGAAACCAGCACTAGACAATCAAAACAGAATGTTTTTCATTAATTTCCTGCCATAGTCCATTTACAGAGCAGATTTTTCTAAACCTGCTTGAATGACATCTGCTACACCTATTTCGAACCTATTTTATCTCTAATTTATCCAGCAAGCAAAAAAACACCCCAAACCCCTGATTCTAGAAAACACTGCCATCTTCTATCATTACCATAGTGCTTAATGTGGTAGACAAATACTCTGAAGAGCAAGTGGACTACATAGCAGTACTAGTAGGCATCACCTCTTATCAAAGGAAAAGCCTTTATCACACTTATCATTTGCCGTTCTTCAGACCTCCACAGCTCCAGTAATTACCTCATTTTTAATTCCAACAAAGCTTTCAAAGCAACAAAGTAACCAGCCTTCATCTCTTACATAAGAGAAAGTCTGCAGCAGTAGAAAATGACTGACCTGAATTACTTTCTCCTGAAAGGTTAATGTACTTGTTTAGATAAAGTAATAAATATGGGGGCAGGGCATGGGGTTGAGAGAGGGCACCACCCTATGTCTAATAGGAAACATACTCAATAAGCAGCATGATTTATTTAAGTGAACATTTGCCTGAGAGCTACTGACAGGCAAATGCAGAAATTATGGTGGAGCAGTCCTACAGCATAATTTCTTCAGCCATAACAGAAAACATTGGCTCACAACAGCTGATATTTTATTCATTCTCTGTTTTCAGGTTTTGCAAAGGTTACTGGAAACCTTACCCGCTTTAGTTCATGCAAAATTATCATGTATGTGGATAAACAGTAAAAGGACCATGGTTCTGGGAATAAACAGGATCACATTTTAAACTGTCCTAATAAGAAAAACAATATTAATCTTCAAAAGGATTTAGCAGACTAAAACTAATCATGYACATCTTACTATACTCAGCCATGGCAGTGAGAAAAACAACGTATTAGCAACTGCACAGAACCAGAACTCACACCAGGGAAAATAAACCAGCCTTCTCCATCAAATGTCCTCCTGCTTCCCCAAGAAAAGAGAAATGATGTTGAAGCCATCTACARCAGGTGACAATTGTATTCCTTAGCCATAGCTGTGGTGAAGTCTTAAATTAAAACTTAACAAAGAGCTTCTTCACAATCACCTGAGTATACCCTTAAGCAATCCCCCTCCATGTTATTTCATTAATTTATTTCCTGTCCTTGCAGGGAAAAACAGTATTTACTCTAGATGAGGTCTGTGGGCTGCTGCATTTTCTCAAACGACTCATTTCTGCTGTTCTACTGCATGGGAACACCCACTTGTCAGAGAACAGAAAACACAGATGAGTGAGATCAATGAAGAAGTAAATGAAATTTGCCCTGAGAATAAACCTACTTTACATAAGAGAAATATGGCAGCAGTTTTCTTCTATTCTTTTACAATAAACACTCTTACAATTTCATCTGAATGATCATGTGATGCTGAATAATACACCCATCAAAAAAAAAGAGAAATTCATTTTGCCCCTAAATTCACATCTAAGASCTCATTTTTCTAAGATAACACTGGGCATTTCTGAATGCTTATTATTTAAGCTTAAGGGAAAAGCCCCACAAAATAAGAACCTTGACCTAAATCTAGCGTGTCACAGAAGGCTATGCAAATGAAATTTAAAAAAAAAAAAATTATCATCACGGAGAATATATTTTATAGCTTCTCCTCTAGTGCCATCTTGCTACCAAAGAATTCCTCTTGTGGCAAAAGTTTTAATGTAAAGGAAGATGTGATATCTGTCCTTCAACTATTTTTCTATAAAAATGGTAACWTTTTGGTAATTAATACCATTATCTCTTAAAAATCCACGCATTTGTTATTGAGGCAATTGATACTGTTCCAAAAATAAATTTATATAGTTTACAAATACTAAAATTGCTACAGTTCTTCCTTCAGTTACTGTCTCTTAGTACCATCAACATGTAAAGGTAAGAAGGCAATAAACTCATTATTTTATACGAAATTTTAAATTTTTTTGTTCACAGTTGATTTATATAAGTGAACTTTATACTGCTAAGCAACACAATTAATATACCAGAAAAGAAGGTTAAAAGTAGGTCAGTGATATAGAACAAGGTTTCTTAACACAACYTGCATCTCGGCCTCCAGCTTGAAGCGTAAGTTTCATTCCTCGTATTCTGGAGTGCTAAATAACACTGTAACTTGATGCAGAAGATAAGAATCATTCAACATTATCCACCCTTGATCTTTACACAAAATTCCCATGACATCCATAGAACTTCCCCAGCTGTACAAACCAGAATAAGGTCCGTGGCAAACACAGCTTTCAGGATTTGCTCTTCAATAAATATCACAAGTGAGAGACAGCAAATGTTAACTCTTTATTTGATTTGAACATATAAAGGTTATATGAAATAATTGAAACAATTTTTTTTATGAAACAATTCTTTTAGAGCCATCTTGTGGGGAAAATAAGCAATTTTAAACAATATATGTTYTTTAACAGGTTTTCYACCAAAAAGATCAGTATTAGTATGACATCTTCTAGTACTCTTTTAAAAAAATAAATGTCTCAGGCACACTGTAAACTTTATACAACATTGTTTAATCCCCTAGAACATGAAGGAAGTGCCTTTATGAACAATCACATGTTAAAAGCTTAGTTCTAGATAGAAAAAATATATATCATTATGTTAAAGATGAAGAATGCTTTTAGGCCACATTCTATTCAAACTCCACCCAACTGCAGCCCACAGAAATAGCACAAAAACCCAGAGAAGCTGAGCCTTCTTCCAGAGCCCTCTTGAGTAAATTGGATAGAAATACACAATCTAACAAAACTAGGGCTAAAATAAAGCAAAATAAATCTAAACATATCAGTAAATTTAGCACTTGAACCTGTAAAGTTCTCATTCTTAAACATCCTTGACATCTCCAATTTAAAGCTTTGGTAATATTTGCAAGTTCTGAAGGAGTTTACACCAGTTGTTTATAAAGAACTCATTACATGACAGTTTTAAGTAAAATACAGCCTTGGGCAGTCAATTTTAGTATAATCAAAAGTCATGATGCAGACTTCAGCTACCTAGGGCAATCGAACATCAGTTGCTGCTTGATTTATGTGTCTTGTCTATGAAGCAAAGTGCTTAAATTTTATCCTAGAGAACAAAAGCGCACATGTAGTTCATATATCTTACTTGGTTTAAATTTATGCCCTAATAAAATATTTCATTTACATAGAACATTAAAGCATATCACATCACATTTACCCAATATGTAATTATCTTCTATTAATACAAAAGTAAAGCAGGACATCACAGAACACTTGCAAAGCGCACAATCAAGAGGTGTCACAGTAATATGCGTTTCCTGGAGCTCTTACAATCAGTGTATAGTATGGACTAGCAGGGCACCTCTGTTAGTTCTTTTTTTAAATAAATAAAGAAATTGGACAACAGAAGGGTCCTATAGTACCCAAAACCTCAGACAGCCGTAACTAAACAGAACAAACTGGCACCCAGACATATAATCAGACAATTTTGCTAAGGCAAGCACAACTATGTCAATTTTTATTTTTATACTCCTACTAAACTTTGAGCAAAAGAAGGTGTATATGTGCGCTTATAGCTTTCCTTCCTCTTTAAAGATGACAATGAGATCTGCTTCCTCCATGACTGCTTTAAACTTTGGAAAGGAGCCCAGACTCAGGGGCACTAGCYTTAATGAGATTTTGGATTTCTTTGAATTTTGGATGTTCTTTATCAGCTACCAGCTGCAGCAATATTGCTTCACTAGTAGTAACTATAATTCCAGTACGAGCAAGACGCTGAAAAAGAGCAGAGAGAAAATAATGTAAGATATTTGCAAACATGAATGAGTATATATTTTGTGAAAAAAGATGGATAGCATTTTCAAAAACATCTCCTATTAATAAAAGTACTGCCAATTTGATTCCAGTCTTTTTTAGTGGTATCATTTACAAAGCCAGGATGAAAACTGACTTGGTTTAGACTTTGCTATGGCAAAAGGTTTCCCTGGATTACAAAAAAGGCTTTCTACTTCAACTGGATTCTTTCCCCAAGTCAGATTTAATAGGCAGCAGTCCCACACATCTTAATAATGCTTTCCCCTTGCATGGTCCAAAGGAYAGATTTCCTTACTTTCATGCAGATTTGAAAGGCCTGGGGAAAAATAAAAACAGCGAGGCACAACCTAACAGCATTAAGCAAGAAATTATAACAATTTCTCTTTCAGTCGTTGTTATGTACCACTGCTTCAGCTTTTGGACTACAGAGTACACTAGTAGTCATAATCTCTGGAGAAAGAAGGCAAATCTCTTCTACAGACATTATAAATCATACTGGCACAACAACAGCTCTTTTTAAATTATGTTTCATTACAGACTCACTAATTACAAAGTTAGCTCTCAAAGACTACACAATAAAATGCATAGCTGCACAGAAAGCAAAACCACAAGTGGTGTGCTGGATTTTTCAAGAGTGCAACTCAACAGAGTTTGGGCTTGATGCAACCCAAGGCAAAGGACTTCTTGGAAAGTTATTGGACTTTTAAAACTCTGACTGCTGCTTACATAGCAAAGTTATCTTCAGCAAATGCTGACCAACCCATGCCCCTCATCACCTTCCCAGCCATCATACAAATGGTTTGGCAGTAAAGTCAGTTTTCCCTCCATTATCCTCTACTCAGCTCCATGCTCCACCAAATCTAATGGGATCCTGAATGTGCCAAGGGAGGGCAAGTGGCGGAGAATAGAAATGCATACAGACAGGTTTCAATTGTAATCACTGAAGCAAAGAGAAGCTCCAAACTTTCTAGCTGAATTACAAAGCAACTGAGGGTGGAAATCAATTAATTTTAAGGGATTGACCAGTAAAGCATATGTAACTACAGTCTACATAACAACAAACTAACAAGGCTGGATTTACTGAAGTCGGTTATTCCTCCCTGCCATAACAGGAGCAAGTCTTACAATATTTTTAAGCTGAAAAAAACTAGCTACCTTCTTCAGCTCTCCTACTCTGTAAATCCATAGTCATTAAACCTCACACACATACAAAAAAGAAGAAAAATAGTTATCTTAAAATGAAATATTTTGACAATGTTTTCAATATGAGCTTCTCCAAGAATACAAAGGTTTTGGTGTTAACTAGYATGGATGAGAAAAAAAACAGACTGTTATAAAATCATTGCCATCTGTAAAATGTTGAAAAGAGAACATATTCTCTTTAAAAACAAAACATACCATAGCATGTCAAAGAGGCAGGCATTGGCTTATACCTCTTCTAAGACTAGATATAATTTACACAGATTTCAGATTAGCAGAAACTGAGATGCATTTGCTAAGCATATTGGATCATTTCCAAGGAAATTACAAGTTTTCTTAGAACACTGTCTTTGAGAAGCAAAGTATCAATGGTATGTTGCATCCACACAGCAGAAAAAAAAAAGGAAGATATGAAGAACAAAAAGGAAACCAGCAGGAGCAGACTAAACTGTCTCAATCTGAGACAAAACACTGACATCTTCATCAGACAGGGTAGAAAYTCAGAGCATTCACAGCCTTGAACTGTTGGGCTGTGTTATTTTGCCAARGAAAATTCTGAGATTTTTTTGATTACAAGGATTTTTTAAACTGCAAGGTTTTGCCTGCTGTCATTTTTAAGCACTCAACAGAAGTGGAGACAACCTCTTATCCAGGCAGAGATGAAAGCTTTTGTTATCAATTAAGTCAAATTGCACTTCCTAGGGCACCCACTCAGATATTTGCATATCATCACCAGCACAATCAAAACACATGCTATGTGGTGGAAAATGTGGAGAACTGAAGGGGTAAGTGGGACGTATTTGAGGTTGCTGAGGAAGCTAGTTGCTACCACTGCAAGGACATTCTATTATTCTTGAAAGGTCACTGTGATTTGAGAAGGGCTGTGAAAAGATAAATGTTACACCCATCTTCCCAGAAAGGTAAGGAAAAAGACCCAGGAACTCTATCAATAAAACTCACTTCAGCTCACCAGTTATGGTACAAGTTTGTACAAGAGACAATGTTAGACTCACTCATTAGAAGCATGTGACTAGGAACTGTAAGCTCTATGGTGAAACTAAAGCAGGATTACCTAATACTTTGATATGTTGCCCACTACACTAAGAAATGAAACGCCACAGCGAATCCACATTACGGACATGTCCAATACACATATTCCTTTCTCCTGGCCTCCACCTCCCAAGCATGCCCATTTCTTGTTTGCTCTAGCCCATATCCCTCAGTAGCATTTTAAAGCGAGGCTCTAAAAGACAAAAAGAGGACACWGTTGGTATGTGCTGCCATGCACAGAAGAGAAGGTGTTACTGCTAGCTCAACACTGCAGTGCAGCAAGYGTTTGCTGAATCATATTGTAATGACTGACAACATGAGGGACCACAGCAAAACATTTTCTTTTGCCTAGTTTGAAAGCACTGCACATTGTTTGAAAGCATATTTTAACATATTAAAAAGTTACCAAACTGGCCAATTTACAGCTTTTGCAAGCAATTACACTTTTAAGAATAATACCTTTTTGACTAGAAAGAAAAGGAAAGCTAGCTAGTCACTGTTTTAACCTTTATCACACTGGCTCAACTTCTATGCTTACAGACACAGTATAAGCGATAAATGAACAAAAACATACACAAATAAGGCAAACAGATTTCAGGTTTTCTATGTTTATTTTGTCCCCTACTGCTGCTGCACCACATTGATTTGGGAAGTCCATGACTTCAGTCATTCCTGTACTCTGTGTATTTCCCTATGCTCTATGTGACAGTTGACATTAGGTTTCCACTTAATCAAAGTCACGGGTTTCATCAATCACTATATGCTGGGGATTTCTCTTTAGCCTTTAAGAAATTAAATCTTCTCAAAATCTATGAAAAAGCATAACACGCTGTGGTTATTATTAGTTTTTATTTCCAAATGATTGTTGGGCCTGAGGCAATAATTGCAATACTTAATGTATATATCAGTTTTTTATTTCCAATGGTGATGCCTGTTAAGAGTATACCATCAAAAAATCGTTTACATGAATTTGCTACCACATAGCTGTATGTGCTTTTAAATCTTCTTGTTACATTCATCTCCACTTTTGCAACATTAAGTTAGACTAAGCTCCTAAAAGCAGGGGGGAGGGGAATCTTTACTATAATCAGAGTCTTGCGATTAAGCTTCAGTTTGCACTGATGAGGAAAAGGAGAGGGAGGGACAGACATACAAGAAGGAGCTTTGAATGGGATCACTCACTATATTTTATTGCATTTCCAGAATTTCAATAAGTGAAWAAATACCCTTTTGAACAACAAAGCCAAAAGCTTTATACGACTTTTACTGTACAGATAACAYCGCATAAAGGGACTTGCTAAAATGCTAATGTTTATACAGAGTAATTATATTGTATGAAACAATCACTTTCAAATTACAAATATTGCAAAATGGGTTATGGATATAACATCATAATTTRAGGAGAAAAAAAAGGGCAGTAATTCTTCTCCATCTTTGAAGCTATTTTAAGAACTGGAGCACTTACATCTTCTCAAACCTACATTTATCCACTGCTTTGTCCTGGGAAATTCCTTGTTAGCTTGCAATAAGCAGGGAACTCAACATATAATCCCAAGATGAAAAATGCCTTGACTCAGAAACTTACCTCAAGAGCAAACATTCTGTCCATCATACTTCTTGATGAGGTGGCATCAGCTACAATATGAACTTCCAGACCTCTGCCAATTAATTCCAACGCTGTTTGTTGGATGCAGACATGAGTCTATAGAGAAGAAAKCAAAGGCAAAAAAGTCACCAACAAACCATTATTATAAAATGAAAGTAACACAATCACAAATTAGAGTACATAATTAATTAGAGTTCAAATAYGTACTTTTCTATCCCTGGCATTACTAGGGAACTCAATATGCATTTTAAATGCCAGCTAAGATTCAGACAAGTGCCTGTAGTTTAGAAGTATCTCATTCCAAATTTTATTATGAGATAATATCAAAGCAACACAAAAATAATTTATTCTGTAGAGGATAACTGAGCTCTAAGTAATATAAATTGAGTTGTTTTTCGTAATTACCAAAAGTGATGCCCCCTTTGAGGGCCAACAGATTTTACCATAAACCAGCATAAGAATGTCAAGGCACCTACTTCTACTCCAAACAGGACAACRCTGCGGACTCCAGGTATCTCTGCTAACGCTGCTTCAACTTCTGGCAACACCATTGAAAATTTTGTCTTGGGAAGCACAAGTTTAGCTCCTGTYAAATCAATTTCTTGCACAGTGCTGCCAAGACCTTTGGGATACTGTTCAGTGACAATAACTGGAATACCCAAGAGCCGTGCACCTTGGAGCTGCAAGGAGAACAGAGAGGAAAACAATCAAAAAAATACATTATTAAATAATAGTAACAATGGCATTCTAATTCCCTGATAGTAAGTAACCTGACTGTCTGTATATAAAATAATAGTTTACAATGTATGACCAAAACCCAAAAAAAAAAAAAGCAAACATACCAGTCGTTGGCCCACGCTGATGATATCCCCAAAGTATTTGATGGCAGGCCGGAATCGTTCTTGCATATCACAACAGAAAAAAACAGTGCTTGAGGGTGTCAGGTTCCCCAAAGTAGTAATCTGAAAAAAGAAATAAAGATAATGTTTTCTGTGTCAGTGGACTCTCTGTCAGAAAAGCAGCAGAATGAGAAAGAGTCTGTAATACCTCAGCTAGATACTTTGAGTCAAAATAGGAGACAAGTTTTTTTGGGTTTTTTTTGATTTTGATAAATAAATAGCTGATACTGAATAGTATGGATAGTCATCAATACATAATCAAGTTTTTACTAGGTGGGAGGCACAAGTYAACGTAAAAGTACACGGAAATTTCTGAATCCCAAAGGGGACAGAGTAACATACTACGTAAARTAAAAAAAAAAATYACCAAGTATCAAAACTACATTCTTCAAATTCATTTCTAAATCCACAACTCTTGGAAGTGATACAGAATCAGGAAATAATAAATTTAAAATAAATTCAGACTTCCACTTGATTTCAAATATTGTATGTACACAGATTTTCACTACTTCTATTGTAGTGTTTGTCTATGACATCTTTTAACACAAGTCTAAGGGAAGTCCAAAGGCTAGAATAAAAGCAGAGAAGACTGAAAATATAAGAAACTGAACTGAATACATTTTAATGACAAAAGTAATCTAGAGTTTCCCTCATACAGGCTACCAAGTRGGTAGATGGAAAGAGATAAGAAAAATAAATCAAATACTTCATTTTCTCACACTTTGAAAGAGTGCTTTGTATTTGTAGAAATAAATTACTTGCACTACCTGTAGAAGCAAAGCATAGGACTTCAGACAGAAGCCTCAGGGAAAGAAAAGAGCTACATACTGTCGTGTAGCTGTAAGGCAACTCAATTAAATCTATTCAGGAGCTTTTCAGCAGACAGATAAATCAGACTGAATAAGAAGCTTCTGAGAAATACTCATTAATTATATACACTTCATTTTCTGCAAACTGATGTTGTAATGCTTTAAACTAAAACAAAACTATAGAATCTGGGAAACAATGTATTTCAGAAGAGTGCAGATGTATAGGGTTTATGTGATAAGGTTTTGGTAATGAGGGGAGGATGCAGGGGTGGCTTTTGTGACAAGATGAAACAACCCCATGTCAAGAGAATGTTATAATGCCAGCTGAATCCAACATGTATCTGCTATATCTGTGATGTTGGTGACRCCTCTATGATAACATATCTAAGGGTGAAAAAAAAAACCACTGCAACAGCAACTGTGAGAAAAGAGTGAGAACATGCGTGAGAAACACCCCTGCAGACATTAAGGTCAGAGCAGATGGAGGGGCAGGAGCTGCCCCAAGTGCTGGAGCTGAGACTCCCCTGCAGTCCATGGGGCAGACTATGGTGAGGCAGCMGTGTTCCTGCTGCCCATGGGGTCCACAGTGGAGCAGAGCTCACCTACAGCCTGTGGAGGACCCCACAGCAGAACCTTTAGGAAGGCTGTGACTCTGGAGAGCCCACACTGAAGCAGTCTCCTAGCACGACCTGTRACTCTCTGGAGGGAAGGCCACACTGGAAAACATTTGTTAAGGACTGCAGCCTGTGGAAGGACACACATTTTGGAAGTTCAAGACACACTATCTCTCATGGGAGAGACCCCATGCTGGAGCAGGGGAAGAGTGTGAGAAGGATGAGTGGCAGAGGTAAAGTGTTAAGAACTAATCACAACCCCCATTCCCCATCCCTCTGTGCTGCTTGGAGGAGGTAGAGAAGTCAGAAGTAGAGATAAACCTGGGTAAAAGGGAGGGACGGGGAAGAGGTGCTTTTACATTTGCTCTTATTTCTGATTATTCTACGCTGTTATTGATTGGCACTATATTAAACTAATTTTCCCAGTTTCCCAATTGTTTTGTCTATGATGACAACTGGYAAATGATCCCTCCCTACCCTTATCTTGACGCACATTTTCTCCCCTCTGTCCTACTGAGAACCAGTGACGGAGCAGCTTGGYGGGCACCTGGTGGCCAGCCAAGGTCAACTCAMCACAAAGAAACTGAGAATCCATAAATATTAGTTCCAAAACTTCCACTGATTCACCACATGTCTCTTGAGTAAAATGATGTTGATCTCAATTCCCAAGGCTGAAAAAGTACAATAATGGCCATGCGTGAATATGTGCAATGGCTGCTCAAACTGTTGGGAAAATTACTTATGTGCCAACAATGGTAAATGCTAAATTCCCTCACCTCTCAGATTCATTATASCCCTACTGCCAAAGCAGAAAACATTCATAAACATGGTTCCTCCAGTCCTTTAGAGACAAACAGCAACCCTATTAATACAAGCGGTTACAGAGGCAAATGCAGTAACAACCACACTAGAGATGCTGTTACACTGAGCTCACTGGTGCCACAGGAGGACAGTAGACCATCACCACAAGCATTAGGGAAATCTTTTTCACTAGGAAGATATAGCTGCACTGAAAAAGGTTACCATGGTTGTGAGATTTCCATCCTTGGAGATTTTCAGCATTCAGCAACACAGCAGTTGATTTGATCAAGGCTTAGGGAAGGCAGTCCCCAGGTATTTTTCCCAAATAACAACTCTGCAACTCTACACCAGGTAATAAAACAAGCCTGGGACCAAGAAAAATTGGATACATAAAATCAAATAACTGCCTTGCTCTTGAATACCATACATCTACATGCTTGAACAATGCAAATGCAGTTGGCAGGCAGTGCTAATGTACAATTCAACACCACAGGGAGCACCTACTGTTACCCATTCCAGCTCTGGAACTTACTAGCACCACAGAAGTCAATCATGACATTTAACTTTTCTACTGCTCAGCAATAAAAATAGAATAATTGGAATAAACAATATTTATAAGTGTGGTTCCTATTCATAAAGTATGCCATTTTGTCTTGGCATTTATATGACAAGCAAAGGATATACTTTCTTCTATAAATCTTTTCATCACTTTAAAAGCTGCACCAGGAGAGGTTTAGGTTGGATGYTAGGAATGATTTCTTCACATAAAGGGTGATTAGATATTAGAATGGGTTGCCCAGGGAGGTGGTGGAGTCACCATCACTGAAAGTRTTGAYGGAAAGACTGGATGTAGCACTTAGTGTCATGATCTAGCAGACATGGCAGTGTTCAGCCACAGGCTGGAATCAAACTCAGAGGACTTTTAGCATCTGATTCTGTGAATCTGCACTTTTTAAAGATCTTTTTGAACTGCCACAAACCATCATGGACAGTAAAATGATCTCTKTGAAGTTAATCTACTGCCTTGGTATACACCTTCCTCTGCCAATGCAGCAGATGGCACTACCATCCTTAGCAGAGGAACAAATTTGAATAGACCAGGAAGGTCTTCAAGAAGCTGCATAGTCTGTCCCTACAGAAGGACAAAACAAACACAAGTACTCTTCACAGACAACCACCCAGTSTGACTCATCAGTAATAGAACTACCATGAAACCCATCCCACAGCTCTATTACCTTAACCTTTCAGTGTTTCCTCATCCACAGCTCCTTTGTTGCTATTTCAAAGTGTTATGTCCACTTACAGTGAATTTGAAACAYAAGAGCACCACCATCCTCCTTCCCATGGATAACAATGTGCAAACTATCAGACCTCAAGACTCAGACCTTCTCTCCCTGTAGGCCTTCCCTTCTTCTAAAACATATCTAATGCTTTTAGTATTTCTTTCTGTAACTCAAATAATTTTCATGGTCCTCCCTGGGGTAGTTTTCAAATTGCAGTTTAGAGTGAGGCACTCAATACTACCATCATAGCAGTGTTTCTCTGCCCATACTACTTCACTGTAATAGGAGAGCCTCAAATATCAGCMAATTCACAGCCCTTTCAGGTCCTGTTTATTTTGTACTTTCCAGTATACTATTTGCTCTTTTCATAATTWTTAGACCCCTGAGATGCATTTTAAACTTAAAAACCTCACCTTTTTGAACTCTCCCTCATCTTTATTTGTGTAGCTGTTGTATCTATACTGACACTTCCATTTTCAAGTGCATCTTATTGTACCCTGTTTCTCCAACTCRTCCTCTAAAACCTGAATTCTGCTCCTTCAGATGCTTGCAGTCCCTTTCACCTGCGATCTTCTGCAAAAACAGTATTTGCCCTAAGTTTCATCAAAGACAGGGACAAGGGAATAATTAAAAGCAGTGGATTTGGAAGCTATCCTATAAAGCACAATTCAATTTTATCCTGATTTGACAGTGAAGTGCAGAAGAAAACTGACTGTCTTTCCAGACAGGGAGTATCCCCATTACAGACTTCCACTGAATCTCGTGTTTATGTCAAAAATCACAGTGCGCTGGAACAAAAGTACTGTAACTGCTTTTCTTTATTATCAAGTTGGTCACATATGATTTAATTTATGCCTTCAGAYTCATACCAGCAGTACTCTAATATAAAGTTGTGTTAACTTGTCATGGTTTGGACACTGGCTGAACACCAAGGCACCCACAACATTTCCCCTCCCCCCCAGAAGAGGCAAAGGGGAGAGCAAAACCCCTAATTAACCCAAAGTTTTATGGYTTTTAGATAAGATAATGGACTGAATGATTTTCAAGTTCCATGATGGTCAAACAAGCTGCAAAAACTTAAGTTGCAAAAAAAAGATTTATTACTAAAACTACTAAGAATACTACCGCACAAAAAGGGTAGAAACAAAAGGGGAGGGAAGAAACAAAAGGCAGAGGGCAAATTTACAAGGAGAAAAAAAAACCTGACAGTTTARGAYACYTGTTTCTTTCMCATTTTGCCYCCCACCCCTCCTGCCTYCCTGTGCACAGGGAAAGASAGTTTTTCTGGTCAGTCTATCATGACCTTTGTCTWCCAYCACCTACAGAGAAGGGTTGGTTCTTATCCAGCTCCAGGCTGTGGAGSTYTCTTCGCAAGAACAGACARTATTRTCACCGCTGGTGGCATGGGATTTTTTWTTTTCTTTACCTTKTCCACAGGGAGGGAAGCACTCCTCCACAGCYGGCTGGSTCCGTACTCAAATTGGRAGCAAAACTTWACTCTTGAATCTTAGCACAGCTCCCTGCAGGCATTCACCCACTGCAGGCGTGGGCCACCA